GCTTCAATTATCTTTGAAAAATATATCTGTATTTCATATTTTCCACTATATTTTCTTTAGTAATACATTTACCCAGGACCCACGGTAATATCATCCACTCGACGACAGTTGGCGGTGGCCCCTGCATGTTCAAGTCTGATCTGTCAATGTGCTGAGAGGCAAGAAGCAGCAGAAACAGGAAAGTCAGGTAGGATGCAGTATGGCAGATAAATTTGATAAATGGCTTTCTGATGAACAGCCCTAATGGACTTTTGGGAGCGATCAAGTAGCACACGGAGAAGACAGGGAAAAGGAGCCCTATCACAGCACATGTCAACATCTTCACTGCCCAGTGTCGCCTCCTCCAGCCTGGGAATTCATCATACCAGCGGGACGCAAGCAGCTGCTGACAGTTAGGCTGGGCAACAAACTAAAAGGAAAGAAAGAAAAGGACAAAATCAGTTTCATGTTACTGTTTCCCATTTATTTCCTGCACAGGTCTCCTTGAGGGACATTATTGGCTTTTGGGTGCATACAGAGGAATGTTCTTGACACAAAACCATGCTATTTGCACAGCCTATGCAAATCCCTGTAAGCAAGGACTCATAAACCCCTCCTTTTTCCAGTAAGCCAGTCGTTGGAAACAGGGCACATGACAGAAGAGAGGGGGAATGGGTGCAGCCCCATTGTGGCACTCAAGACATCTCTATCTTATCTTAAAGGATGGTGTTGGTTGTATGCCTCCATGTAAGCCAGGGACTTTGTGGCGAAATGGTGCTTACCAAAGGAAATACTCTCATGTTGCTCCCCCAGAAGTGGCACAGCACACATTTTTAACTCTTAAAATTCACTTTTCAAAAGTATATTTGCTATTAAATCTTAAGTTCTCAAGTGCAAATGAAAATCAGACACAAACAGGTTGTGAACATGGATGTATCAACATTTGTTTTCAATTCACCTGCATATTACCAAAAAAAGAGTTACCATTATTCTCACAGCCCTTGAACAGAACTTGAAGGTCACTGGATAAAAGTCACTATGGAAATGCAAAGTATTATTGTTGTTGCAGGATTCTAATTTAACGTCTTCAGAAAGTAAAATTAAATTTAATAACCAAAAACGTTATTCCTTATCACATTCCATGACAATTCCCTAATTTAGGTCTATCTAGCAGAATACTGGACAAAGTCTATATAGATATATTGAAATGAAGAGTTTGCAATCTATAATATACACTGCCCCTATTTAGCAAATCTTTCACATATTAATTTTCATCCTTTACTCTTATGTAAGAAAAAATCATACAGTGTTCTCTGTCTCTTTCATTAGGAAAAATACTAAGTCCTAAAGGTTCCCATATGTTTATCTCAAATTAGAGCTGCCTGGAATAATATTATATGCAGTTAGAGAAACATGTTTCAACGTGTTGTGCTGCCAAATGTTTTAATAAGGTCTCCATCAAAAAATTTCCACCAGAGTTGGCAATGCGTCACATTCCCTGAATTTAAAACTTTTACCCATCCTGCCAAAGTTTGACGGCTCCATGTTCATTTCCTCTCACCACAGTATCTGCCAATTCTATATCAATTCAGTTCCTAAAAAATCATCATTTTCATACTTCTTCCCCTTTCCAGGACTCACCTCCATGATATGGGGAGGCAGGAAAAGGAACAGCTTTTCCTTGGCTAATCTGAGCTTTGCAGTGGAAACAGGTATGCCTGGGCTTGTCGGGGTGGATAAGGAGAAATAAGCTTATCCTTGGTGATAGTAATGAGGCGTCTGGGGAAAGGAGGGTTCTAGGTTCTTCAAAGTGTGGGCTGGAGTTGGACAGGAAGGCCTGGTTGGGGAGACAAGTGGGTTGCAGCAACTTTAGAAAATACATTCAGTTCTACAGCTGCTTGGTCCTACCACTCTTCCTCCTTATGCAATGCTGGGAAGAGAGCCTGGCAAGAATGGTGATGTGCAGCTTTTGTGATAGACACTGGAGGGGATTCACTTGCATCAGTGCTCTGCCAATATCAAGCACATCCGGGGAACAGCAGCTGTAGGAGCAGCAGCTGCTGAACTCTAGTCTCAAAAAGGGCTAAAATGTTAATATAAAATGAAATCAAAATGTTAATGTAACAATGAGGCTTGTTAACCAACTGGAACATTTTTGAGCTGGCCTATAAAACTCGTTCTGTCCCAACACCCAAACATGATTCTTTCCTTCATGACCATATGGCTACTACATGATCAAGATAAAGGAAAATTGTGGCTTTCCAAATGATGAATTCTTCATATATATGAGCAAAATGGCTAACCTCTAATTGTCTGTCCACTCTGTGAGCTTTTGCCGTTCCCTCAAAAGCACCTGGTACTGACTGCAGTTAAAGAGAGGATACAGTATAGATGGATTTCTTGTCTTGCATGCACAGGGCTAACCTAGGGATTTTTGCAAAGATAAGGAAGATAGTCCTTGGGATACACCCATTCAAACTGTGAGTTGGTTTCCATTCCCAACTAGTTTCCTATTGCAGATGCGTAGGCCTGATGCTTGTTTCAGTCAAGCCCAGTGATCAATTTATATTGGCTGATAATGAGCTTTGTGTTCAAGGCCATCCTCACAATGAAAAAGGCTAGAATTTTATTTTTAAATGAAAGCTATGTTCCAACAGCAGAGTCCCTTGAGATTCCTCCAACTCAGAAGTTTCAATACAATTGGGAAATAGTTTTGAAGAGTTTCATATTCTCTGAAACTCTCTTTACAGGGCAGGTTTGGATTTGCTCACTGAGTCATTTTCACTGAGGCTTCAGTTGTAATTAAAGAATCTTCATGATTTGAAAGAAATCATGTCCACTTCTCCAGGAACCAATTAACATCAAGAACCTCTGACACACAATTTAAATACAAATTGTACATGAAAGAAGCACACGCATCTCCCATTTATCTTTTCCTTATTTGTTTAGTTTATGAGCAACCACCAAATGAAAACGATGACCTAGAATTCCTCTTCCAATAAATGCCAAACACAAAGTAACTCCATATAAAAATACAGGTTGAACCTCTCCAGTCTGGCACTCTTTGGTCTGGGAACATCTGTGGTCCAGCATAATTTTAGTTAGCTGGATATCCACTTATCATGGGTCTGACCAAGTTTTCTGTGATCCCTTAAAGTTTGTTTACAGCCACCAGTCCTGGCTCTCAGTGTTCTGTGCTGTTCTTTAGCTCTAATTTGTCTCTAAATGCTTCCCAGTAAGCCAAGGAAGTGTTGGTAAAGCTGCTAGACATTATGGTGTTCCTGTAGTTTGGCAAATTCTGTGTTTCAGCACCAGTCAGGTCCTGAGGGTGATGGCCTAGAGAGGTTCAAGCTGTACCAATGACACATTCATGTAATGTATATTAAACAAGTTAACGGATGTAATAATAACGAGACAAGCATAACTGTGTGCACCAAAACATGTATAAAAGTACCACGTGAGCTGTGGACATAGGCAGAGATATAATACATAATCCATGAAGCACCATGTCTAGATACAGATACGGCTGGATTAAAAAAGGGGCTATAGGGCTGCCACCCATGGCCCCTGGCTAAGGGGGATTCCCTTAGCCTGAGGCCTGGGCCACAGCCCCTAAAGCCCCTGTGTTCCTGGCTACCCTTCCTGGTGGGGTGGGGAGCAACTCCTTGTGCTTCAGTTCATCTTCCCCCCGCTTCCCACCCAGCCCCAGGCTGGAGCCATGGCACTGAGAAGCCATAAAGCTCTTCCCCTCTGCTTTTCTTGCTTTTTGTCTCCACCCCACACTCTCATGGCAAATGGGATCTGTTTGGGAGGTGCCTGCAGGGGAGAGTGGGGCAGCGCAGAGCCCCTTGCACCCCCAATAGGAACTGCCCCAGTAAGTGCCCTGCACTCTAATCCTCTGCCCCAACCCTGAGCCACCTACTGCACCCTAACTACCTCCCAGACCTCACATCCCAACCCTGAGCTTGCTCCTGCATCTTAGATCCCTCACAGACCCAAGAGCCCAACCCCTGAGCTCCTCTCGCATCCCGACTCCCTCCCAGACCCCGAGCCTGCTCCTGTATCCTAAACCTTGCCCAGACCCTGAACCCAAACCCCAGCCCCCTCCCCTGAATCCACTTCCACACACCAAAGCTTTTGGCCCCAGTCTAGAGGCTCTTTTAACACCCCAAATACCTAATTGCCAGCCCCATCCCAGAGCCTTCTCTCCTATTGGAGTCCTCACCCCTTCTTGCACCCATCCCCGTGCATCAACCCACAGCCCCTTCCCACTACTCAAGCCCTCTTTTTGGCCCCATTCTGTGTGATTCTCATTAAAGAGTCCTGCCATGAGGGCAGGGGACTGGACTCGATGACCTCTCAAGGTCCCTTCCAGTCCTAGTGTTCTATGGTTCTATGAAGTACATTACTCACTGAATACTGGTGGTTATAAATGAAAAAGGCCAGGGGATTTTTCAGAAAGGTTCTACTCAATACATTTATAGCTAGTATGCTTTATTATTAATCTATGTTGTTTGAAGGTTGGAACTTAATTTACAATTTTGATTCTTATCAGAGAGGAATGAATAAAGATATCAGTTGGCTCACACATTACCTTCCACATCCTAATGACTTAACCAAACAAACAATGGGTACTTATAGAGGTTCAAATTGTTCTCAATCTCTTGTAACTTGAGCAATCCAATTCATTATTTTTTCTCTCTCCCCCTTTCCCCTTTCCCTCCACCTTCCCTTATTTATTCTTGGATCTGGACTTCTAATACTCCAGTCATCTGAACAATTGGATTATACCCACACTGCTAGACTATTCATTGTTTATGTTTTTCCAGTTACAGACTAACCCAGCTACCCATCAGCAGCTTTATTTTCAGTAAGTCTTAGAGCACTGGGGATGATCTATAAACTGGAGAAAAGCTAATGTTGTGCCATTTTGTAAAAAGAATGACACAGATAATTATAGGCCTGTTAGCCTGACATCAGTCCCAGGCAAGATAATAGAGCAGGAGGACTTGGTTAATAATGAACTAAAGGACAGTAATATAATTAATGAAAATTGACGAGTTTAGGAAAAATTGATTTTGTTAAACTAACTTGGTAACATTTTTATAAGATTACAAATTTGGTCGATAAAAGTATCAGTGTGGACAAAATATACGTAGACTTCTGCAAGAGGTATGATTCTGCATAACATTTTGATTAAAAACTAGAATGTCATAAAATGAATGTGGCACCCATTAAATGGATTAAAGAGTGGTTTAATGATAGGTCTCAAAATATAACTGTCAATGGCAAATCATCATTGAGCAGGTTTGTTTCCATATGGATTCCACAGGGAGCGGTTCTTGGCCCTATGTTATTTATGAAAGACCTGGAAGCAAACATTAAGTCATCCCTTATGAAGTTTACAGATTACACAAAAATTGGGGTAAT